TGGCTTAGTACTACATGTCATCATGCCCATCATATTACTAGTTCAGTAGTGTATCTCTAAATCACACATACATGAGGAAGATATTATATGTCTTTTTGCTAGCTCTCTTTCCCCACCTGTCAAGGATGTGTGAAATTTAAAATTTGTGTTGGGAGTGTATTTTTTCTGAAGCATTTGCTACAGGAGTGTTTTGTTTTGATTTTTTTCAAGATGGTTTCTCTGCATAGCCCTGGCTCTGGAACCCTAGAGCCAGGCTGGCCTGGAACTCAGAGATCCACCTGCCTCTGCCTCCCAAATGCTTCAATTACATGTGTGTGCCACCACACCTAGCAAGAGTGTAATTTTTAGAGATGGTATCAGCCTGTAGCCTGGGCTGACCTCCTTTATCTTCCTGTCTCAGTCTCCTTAATGCTGGCTTTATAGGGTTGGATCACTAGGCCCATTGGAAGGAACATGGGTTTTGATTTTTTTTTATTTACTATTCCTAAATTTTATTTTATGTATATGGGTGTTTTGCCTATCTGCCCTTGTGATTGGTGCTCTTGGAAGCCAGCAGAGGGTATTGGTATCCCCTGGAACTGGAGTAATATACAGACTGTTGTAAGCTACCATGTGGGTCCTGGGAATTGAACCTGGGTCCTGAAAGAGCTACCAGTTCTCTTAACCTCTCAGCCACCTCTCTAGTCCCAGATCATGGATTTTAATGGTTAGATGTTCTGTCAACTCCTGTAGAGAGGCACTTAAAATTTTGTTTGTTTTATTTTTCTAGACAGGGTTTCTCTGTGTAGACCTGGCTGTCCTGGAACTCATAGACCAGGCTGGCCTTGAACTCAGAGATCTGCCTGCCTCCGCCTCCCAGGTGCTGGGATTAAAGGCATGAGCCACCACCACCCACCAGAGAGGATCTTAAAATATTTCATTTTTTTATTATTATTTGTTTTATTTATTTATTTTATTTTACAATACCATTCAATTCTACATATCAGCCACGGGTTCCCCTATTCTCCCCCCTCCCACCCCCTCCCCTTACTCCCAACCCACCCCCCACTCCCACCTCCTCCAGGGCAAAGCCTCCCCCAAGGACTGCGATCAATATTTCAGTTTTTTAAACAAGAAAATGACATTGTTAAAACTTATGTTCATGTACTTTTATGCATGTTTCATTTCTTAAGTTCTTGGAATTGCTTAATTTAAACCAAGTTTATTTAATAGTCATGATTTGGGCAACATGGGTAGTGTAAAACACGGTCTATAGAGAGAAAAACAGAAATAGACCATTTTTAGGAAGCTTATAGATTCCATTTCAAACGATAACATTTTTTCTCAGAAACTAAGAAATTAAAATCACTTAACAGAATCTACTTTGTTAAACAAAAATCTGTAGAATGTTGTAGAATTTTAAAGAGGCCTTATTAGGATCAGACATTTGGTCGAACTTCTTGGAGAAATGAATTTGAAATGGAGAAAATGTAGAGCTGAATTTTTGCCACTTAGAACCTAAATGTCTGTTAATTACAATACCTAGAATAAACTTGTGGAAAATTTAAGGAAGAAGTAAATTATTCGTTATTTTTAAAAGAAACTCTTCCTTATAATAGTCATTTGAAAGAAGTAAACCAAACCTTTTATTTTGTTTCATTAACTTTATAAAGAAAAGTACCAACAGCAGCAGCCAATGTTAGATCACTTGATATTGGAAGCAGTAGTACTCCATTAAGTGTGGTCTCAGGATGGATTTTAAGAGGAACAGAGGCTCTGGAGAATTGTTTCATATTCCTTGTGTTTCTATTGAGGTTTCCTCTGTAGTGGCTTCTTACTAGTTAGGAGACTAGAATCATGAAAATTGTTAATGTATGATTTCCCTTGGATTGACTTTTTTTACAATTTCAGGTAGTTGGGAGTTTCCTTTTGGGCTTGTTTGCTTTTTTCATGCCATGCCTGATACCATGTCAAAGCAGATATTTAGTCATGGTTGTATGGGGAGAGAAAACAGATGACTGGTTTCTAGAATTCAGAGAAACTGTCTTATAATACCTGTTGTTCTGCTAAGTCTCTGGAGAGATGAGGTTGACACTGATGATACTGGGTTGGGGTATACCTCATTAAGACTAGTTTTAGTTGCCTTATGTTTTTGTTGTTGTTTTGGGGTTATATTTGTTTTAGACTGAGTACTAAACTCAGGGCCTTGCATTTGTTAAGTAAATGTTGTACCACTGAGCTAAACCCCCAATTCCAGAAGGCTGGCTTTAAAACAAACCCTGGTCTGGCAAAGATGGCTATCAGTAAAAGCACTTGCTGTGCAAGTTTGGCAGCTAGAGTCCCATCCTCAGGACCCTGTGAATGTCGAGGGAGGGAGCAGACTACACATGGTTGTTCTTTGGCCTCCATGGGCATCCTGTGACACCCCTTTACCGCACACTGTGCGCACACAAACTAATGTTTAAAAATTTACTTTAGAGCAAATCCTGACCTAAGAAGCACATTTCGATTGAGACCATGTATTTTAAGACTAAAACATGCAGAGAAGCCAGATAAAGAGGCAATCAGAAGAGAAAAATCAAGATGTAAAGTTAATTATCAAATAAAGAACTTTTCATTAAAAACAAAAATAGATTTGTTAAAATTGAGGTTCAGTTTTAAAATTAGTTGTAGATCACTTAGATTTACTGTCATGCCATACTGTAAAACATGCATCCTCATTGATTGATTGATTGATTTTAGGGTATGTGTATATCTTTGTATGTCAAGTTTATGCAGGTGCCTGTGGAGGTGTCATATCCTTTGGAGCTAGAATTATAGGCTGCTGTGAGCTGTCTGACATGGATGCTAGGAACTGAACTGGGAAAAGGAGCGAGTGTTCTAAACAGCTGAGCCATTTTTCTAGCCTTTTAGCTTAATTTTTTAAGGCAGTTTTTTTTTTTTTTTTTAAATGTAGTTTAAGAAACCTTGAACTTGATCATCCTGCCTCAGCTTCCAAGTCCTAGGATTGCAAGCATCCTCTGTGTGGCTCTTTTTGAGACAGTCTCTTCTGTGTAGCCCTGGAACTCACTATGTAGGTCAGGTTCAAATGCACAAAGATCTGCTTGCCTCTGCCTCCCAAGCCCTGGGGTTAAAGGCCTGTTCCACCACACCTGGCCCATGATACTTTCTTTTGACTAGTTTTAAAATTTCTCTAATTCTCTGTTCATACATAATTATTTGTTTTTGTAAATATACTGTGTGACTTCATATTTATTTAAATTTTACCCACTCTATATATAGCCTTTTAAATCTTTTTAAAAAATCCTTCAAAGCCTTGATCTGCTAAATGTACTGTCTTTAGTTTGGGATATTATACAAAATGATTGTTCATGACTTTGTTTCATACATTTAGAGGTTATTGGCAAAAATAAAAAGCATGATTGGCTGAGTCATTTTAGATTCTATATATAAAACTAAGACTGGTGGTCAGACTGGTGCAGTAGATACTGTAACACTGTTCCCTGTAGGAACTTCCTATGACTGAGTAATATTAGCTGTTTTATATGGGATTTTGTTTTGTTAGCTTTTTTTTTTTTGCTTTTGGTGGTAGTGTGGGTCAAACACTGACTGATTACTGGCCTCAAACTTGCAATCTTCCTATCTCAGCATTTCAAATGCTATGATTGTAGGAAATTGCAGGAATGTCCCACTATGTGCGGTTGTAATAGTACTACAGTTCTGTCCCCTCATCCCCTGTCTCTTTCCTTCCTCCTTCCCTTACCTTATTTTTTCTATCTATCTACTTAATTGAACATTTGTTTGTGATGAGATCATCCAGCTTGAGACTTTTATTTTTAAGTTTCATTTTTATTTGATGAATAGTTGGTCTGCATGTTTGCATGCCTGGTGCCCAAGAAGCCAGAAAAGGATGTCAAATCCCCTGGAACTGCAGTTGCAGATGATTGTTAGCTGCCATGTAGGTGCTGGAAATGGAATGCAAGTCCTGTGGAAGAGCAGCTGGTGTTCTCACTCCCACTGTGCCATCTCTCCAGCCCCACCCTGAGACTTTTTGGGGAGGGGGCCGTCGCTTTTTGAGACAAGGGTTTCTTTGTGTAGCTTTGGAGCTTGTCCTGGAACTTGCTCTGTAGACCAGAACTCACAGAGTTCCGCCTGCGTCTGCCTCCCTAGTGCTGGGATCAAAGGTGTGCGCCACCACCGCCCATCTAACCCTGAGACTCTTGAGATACTAGGATTACAAGTACTTGCTGCCATACCCAGCATTGCTTCTCATTCTGTAGGTCCAGTTTAAATGCATTCTCATTTAGAAACATTTTTCTGGGCTGACGAGATGGCTCATTTCAATTTGAGTTCAATCCCCAGGATTGATGGAAGGACGGAACTATTTCCCACATGTTATTCTCTACCCTCCACATATGCACCATAGCAAGTGGTCTTCTTCTGGCTATCTCGTTCCAAAAAACCTCCCATGTAGTGTATTGGTAGTATTACTAATTTATTAAAACTTGTAGTTGTTTTTCATAGCCTTTTTTTGCGGGGTGGTGGTGGTGGTTGTTTTTTTTCTGCAAGATGGTCTCATGTATGAGCTCAGGCTGATCTTGAACTTGCTATGTACGTGTGTCTGGTTTTGCGGGGTGGTGGTGGTGGTTGTTTTTTTTCTGCAAGATGGTCTCATGTATGAGCTCAGGCTGATCTTGAACTTGCTATGTACGTGTGTCTGGTGGCCTTGAACTTCTAATCCTCCTGCCTCTATCTACAGAGTCCTTGTATTACAGGTCTGTACCACTACATCCAGTTTGTGGAGAGCTAAGGGATTGAACCCGGGACTTTGTACACACCCAATAAACACACTCAGCAACCAAATTAACTCCTCAGCCCTAATTGTCTGATTTATATTTTGAAGGTCCATTAAATGAAGAAGTGGACTATATATGACTTAACACATATTCTGAAGAGAACTGTTATATTGATGAATTTTTATTATGTATATTTTCAGTGTAATGTCTTCTTTTCTTTCCTAGAGAATGGATCTTGGAGAATGCCTGAAAGTCCATGACCTGGCTTTAAGAGCAGATTATGAAATTGCATCCAAAGAACAGGACTTTTTCTTTGAACTTGATGTATGTGATTTTTGCTTTCATGTTACATTGTAGGAAAAATATTTTGAACATGAATTAATGTCTCTTAGGAAGAAAGACTTAGGAAGGTATCTTTGTGATTCTATGATGATTAATATGTGGATGAGATAATACACATTTCTCTCGGTGTGTAATACTAAGTATTAAAAGCTATGGCCTTAAACTTAGTAGACAAACATTTTACTACTGACCTAGCCCTGACTCCCAATTTTCAATATATAAGAGATTGAATATTAATGAAAATGAATAAGAGGTTTGTTTTTGTTTTATTAAATAAAAAAATCATATTTTTGAGACAGGGTCTTTTACTTAGCTCTGGATGTTCTGGAACTCCAGACAGGCCTCAGATTTACAGAGATCTAACTTGCTTCTGCCTTCCAAGTGCTACTCACCTAGATAAAAAAAGATTCTGTTGAAAAAAAAAAAATCAGCTTATTTTTCCCAACAGAAGTAAAAGTGATTAAGAAAATAGCAGTTTCAGGGCTGGAGAGATGGCTCAGAGGTTTAGAGCACTGACAGCTCTTCCAGAGGTCCTGCGTTCAATCCCCAGCAACCACATGGTGGCTTGCAACCATCTGTAACGAGATCTGGTGCCCTCTTCTGGCCTTCAGGTATACATGCTGTATACATAATAAATAAATAAATCTTTAAAAAAAGAAAAGAAAGCCGGGCGGTGGTGGCGCACGCCTTTAATCCCAGCACTCGGGAGGCAGAGCCAGG